GATTATTATATATTTAATATATTTAATATATTTAATATATTACTATATAATATATAATGAGCCTCGCGGCTCCTTTTCATAACCGCCGATTGTCAACAATTATAGAAACGGTAATAATCGTATCTCCTCTTCCCAAATTGTCCATTTTTGCTTAGAAGTCGAAGAAAAATTAGGAAGAATTTACTATAATCGAAATTATTGTAAATCGGTTAAAACAAAGCAATTCTTCTCGTCGACGACACGACCCCCCCCCCCGCGCACCACCCCCTGGATCTAAACTGTAGATCTAATACTCGATAATAAGATCGAACAAATGACTCGAAAATAAGCTATACAGTAAAGTCTCCCTAATTGACGCTCAGATTGTGCAAAAAAATGAAAAACAATAAACAATTTGGAAGGAGTTGATACGATTATTCGTTCCTCGCGGCTCCTTTTTATAATTGTTGGCAATCGATATCTGTAAAAGACGAGCAGCAATAGACTCACTACATTTTCATATACAAGTCAAACATCAATTCGAGGAAAATAATTAAACCTCATTATAAAAACAAAAAAGAATTGTCCAGAAAACCGTTTTATTATCCTCTCGAAGAAAACATCTCAAAAAAAGATACAAACGATGCGAAAAAAAATGCTTCGAGACGAGCGAACACGGAAGACTCGATGACAGTTCATTAGATCGCACGCTTTTCTCCGAAGAAAGTTATCAAGCTCGGTGATAACGATGTCAAATCGCTGCTCGACAGATAACGCTGACACAGACCTGCTGTCAAATCGCTGCTCGCACAGGTTCGAAAAATCGACCGGCGAAGAAGGGCAAAAGAAGTTCGTCGTGGGGGAAACGAAGTTCGACAGGAGGTAGCCGATCGACTTACGCGCGCGGAATCACCCCCGGCAGGTAGTAGTACAACCTGGACACCGTGTACGTAGGAAGGAATCGATGCCCGATGTAACATGGCCGCGTTGCGTCAGAGCGTTTCGCTTTCATATCCGCGCGACGGAGTGTGTTCGACGTGAAATTTCGCCGGGCGAAGAAGTGGGTTACCGCTCGTTACTTCAACAGCCCACAAGAGAGCCCGGTAACGACTTCGTTATCGTACGCAAACGAGCGTATAAGTATAGTATTACCTTCGACGATTACGCGGAGCGTAAGACGATCGTCCTTAAAAGGCGACAGCAGGTAACGCCCGCGTAATCCCCTTCGCAGAACGCTTCGACATCTCAAATTTCAGAAACGCATTCGCGCCTCGGGTATGTCCAGTTTTTCGAATTAGCCTGCCGAACGCCGAGACGAACGAGGGCTGCTCCTCCCTTTCTCTCTCTCTCTCTCTCTCTCTCTCTCTCTCTCTCTCTCTCGGTCTCTCTCTCTCTCTCTCGCTCTTTCCTGCAGTCTTCCTCCTTTAGTTCGCGCGACTCGCCTCGAACCGTAAAGGTATACCGATCGCGCGCGCGGCTCGTAAAGCAGCGTCGGTGTCGAGGGCAACTTGTTCTCGGTCTAACAACGCTTCAGGGAAGAGCGTCTCGCCGTGGCTACAAAGAAACTGTAGCCAACAGGTTTCCCCGCGCGAGTGCAACGCTTGTCCCCGGCCGGCCACGTGTTCCCCGCACACCGGGCATCATCGACTTTTCGCTCCCATAGCGGCTCGCGGGATCCCCAGCGAAAGTCTCCGTTACGTCCCGCCCGCAGCATTTTCCGCGATTTTCACTTCCTGGCCACGTAACCGCTGTTTCGAACTTTGGAATCGTCTACGAGGTGTTTTCGTCGATTAATTGTCGAAGAGAGCACGCGGTGACGTCTCTCTCTCTTCATCTTCGCAAAGGTCTTTGCACGGGGAAATTGAGCTTTCACTCGGTCATTTGACTAGATGATTTCGATGCCGAGGAACTGCTGATGACTTTTGTATATCTGCGGCGAGGTTCATCTCTGACGCTTGTTAACCAGGGATTTTTACAAGGGTTGATATCGATTTTGCGTTCACTTGTCACGGGAAACAGTTTCACAATTTCACGTAACATCACTTAATATTAGCAAGAAATTGGAAAGATTTTTAATGGGAGATTGAGACTTTTTAATACGAGAGTATGAATAATATAATAATATATTAATAAGTAATAATATTATAATACAAGATAATGTACTCGATATCTTGTGAGAATCCTTGGTCTTGTTTTCTTTAGAATTTTCAATGTCATTAAAACCCCCTTAAGTAGTATATTCTATTTATCTTAATGAGTTGAAATAATTTCAATTTTTTTAAAATTATTATTTACTTGGAGAAAATAGTTTTATTTTCTAAAAGAAAAGGAATGTGAAAATTTACATCGACACAATCGTGCGGTGGAAGTTACCAATTGTCATTTTTTATCATTAATTCTTTTTGTCATGAATTTGTCTCTGTATGAGATTCATCCCTTAACACTTCAGATCTATTTTCAACTGTGCCAACAGGATTTGTGAAGTCTTTAGACAGTCATTTTGGAACTTGTTCTTCCCCTGGATTAGAAACTAAATTGCAGATAATTTGTCTCTGCACGAGATTCGTCCCCTAACACTTCAGACCTATTTTCAACTGTGTTAACAAGATTTGCGGAGTCTTTAGACAGTGATCTTGGAACTGGTTCTTCCCTTGTATCATTCAATGATCCAAGGAGCCATTTGATTAGAAACTAAATTGCAGATAATTCGTTTCTGTACAAGATTCACCTCCTAACACTCCAGACCAATTTTCAACTGTGCTAACAGGATTTGTAGAGTTTTTAAACAATCATTTCGAAGATGATTCTCCCCTTGGATTACTCAATGATCCAAAAGACTTTTCGGTTAGCATAACTAAACTGAGGATAATTTATCTCTGTACAAGATTCATCCCCTAACACTTCAGACCAATTTTCAACTGTGCTGTCAAGATTTGTGGAGTCTTTAGACAGTCTTTTTGGAGTTTGTTCTCCCCTTGGATCATTAAACGATCCAATGGACTATTTGATCCGCAACTAAACCGAGGATAATTCGTCTCTGACCAAGATTCATCCCCTAACACTTCAGACCTATTTTCAACTATGCTAACAAGATTTATGGAGTTTTTAGACAGTGATCTTGAAACTGGTTCTTCCCTTGTATCACTCAACGATCCAAGTAACTAAATTAGTAACTAAATTGCAAATAATTTGTCTCCAATGTTAATAATGTGTCTCTGTACAAGGTTCATCCCCTAACACTTCGAACCTATTTTCATCGGTGCCAACAAGAATCGTACACTCCTTAGATAAACATTTTCCTCCGTTAATCTCTAAACGATTTCCAAGAGACAACTTATCCTAAGAACAAAGCTGCCAGTAAGCGAAGACGACATCGCTGTCTGTCTCCGTGCAAATCTGATTTCTAATAACCGAAAGCCGCGCGCGGTGCTCGTTAGCCCTATCCGAAGATCGGCCGTATCCGCGACGAGGAGGGCAGCTCGCTCGCGAGGCAGCTCGTCGCCTCGGCTTTTCCCATTCAGGTTCCTACGCTCGGCTCCTACTCGCAATTCCCTGGATCAAGCTGGTCCTCCGCTCGTGATGCAGAGAGCGAGCGCGGCCGAGCGACGCATGCAAATGAACGAGCGCGGATTTATTCCGCCTCCAGGTCTCTCCGGCGCGACCACCGACTCTCTCGGGCCTCTCCGCGGAGAAAGAACGGGCTGATCGATAACGCTCCACGAATATTCGCGATAAACAACGCTAATTGCGACACGCCGGCCAGGAACCTTTCGAGGAACGTGGCCCGGCCGCGCCGCGGTACCAATTACGTGTTTCCCAGCGTAACGCGGATATTATGCCCGGCGGCGCGACCGACTTAGCGCCGCCGATGCCTGCCCTTTTCGTTCGCCTGCGTTTCAGGGAACCTTTACGCCTGGCGGTGCGCGCGCGCGGAAACGATGCACCGGCCGACTTATGCAACCGATCCACGCCGAGAGAGAGAGAGAGAGAGAGAGAAAGCCTAACTCTCGACGTTGTCGAACGCCGCGTCGCGAGTCCCCGCGCGCTATTAATCCGCGACGAATCTTTTGCCGGGCTGTCGACCGTTCGCCTCGATGACAGATCAATTAGGGAGTCCCCGCCGTCGAAGATCGATGAACGTCAATCGGCGAGCGTGTCCGCGGAGGGACGACGTCCCGCTTGCTTGCGCAACCATACGGCGCCAACTCTTTTCAGCGGTCGCGATCGCTCGAATCGCGGATTTTGGACGTTCGCCGCGAAAATGGCCGGTGAAATGCTCGATTAGTAAGGTTAAATGCGAGGTATTTAAGTAATGTTAACGCACCCCGGGCTCGATTTGCTTGAATCGTTAACTGCGATGGACGCTGAAAGAACTCGCGTTGCTTCATGAAAATGACAGAAATCCACATTTTTCTTGCAATGCGAGTTTGAATGCAGAAATTTAGTCGATTATTTCCTGCGAGAGGACCATTGCAATTTTGACTATTTCTTTCAGATTTCTGTGTCTTCAAATTGACTTCTATGAGACGAAGAGCCGCGATCTAGAGATTAATAATACGATGCGATTCAGAAGCACTTCTTTCTAGCTATTTCGCTACTGCTGCTATTCCGCTAATTGATCGACTCACGCCCCGAACACTGCGAACCTTCGTGTCTCGATTCGAAAACCAACGACTAAAACAGCTTTCTTTCTACATCATTTTAACCATCATCATGTTTCCAAACTAACACAGCTCCGCTCGAAACACTGAGCACTTCAGACGCCTTCTGAACTGGTCCAGAAACCATCGACCGAAACAGCTTTCCATATCGTCGCGTCTGTCTGACGCAATTCCCTCCCGAACACTTTCGTCAAAACGACGGATCGAACTTCGAAGTCGATGCTTTTTCTTCCGTGAGCATTCGGAACGATACACTTTCGTCGCGAAACGAAGAATTCGCGAACAAGCTCGATCGTAAATCGCCGCGAGACGACGCGGCCTAAAAGAGAAAAAGAAGAACGTGTTGGCATTGTTTCTGACCTTGAGGAAGCAGCATCCGACCGGCATGTCCTCCGGCACCGTGGCGTTGTACAGGGGCTTCTCGAAGATCGGCTCGTTGTCGTTGAGGTCGTGAACTGTCACTCGTACCGTAGCACTGCTGCTGAGAGCCGGCCGACCGGAGTCGGTGGCCACAACCACTAAAGTAGGCGCGGGATCTGCCTCGCAGTCGACGTGAGTGATCGTGGTGATCAATCCGGAGTTCTCGTCGATGGCGAACCACGTGGAGTTCATCAGGGAGTACTTGACGGCGGAATTGGCGCCATCGTCCAGGTCGGTGGCGGTCACGTTGAGCACCGGGGTGCCCGGCTCGGAGGCGCCTAACAGGTGCGCCTCGTACCTTTCCTGGCCGAACTTCGGCGCGTTGTCGTTCACGTCGGTGACGAGCAACCTGAACGTCCTGACGGCTCTGAGCGGTGGCGTGCCGGCGTCGGTCGCCTCGACCGACAGCTCGTAGACCGGCTTCTCCTCGCGGTCCAGCGGCCGCTCCACCACGACCAGGTAGATGATGTTGTCCCTGGTGGCCAGGCCGAAGTGGCCCTCGCCGCCGGTCAACGTGACGGTCGCGTTCGAGTACTCGGTCCTGGAGTCCGGATCGCTGACCGATATCCTGGCCACGAATTCGCCGGGCTGCGCGCTCTCGCTGATCTTCGGTGTCGCGTCGTCCGACAGGAATATCACCGTGATCGCCGGCTGGTTGTCGTTGACGTCGGTGACGCGCACCGAGAGGAACGCGCTCGCCTCGAGCGGCTGCGCCCCGCAGTCCCTGGCCACGATCACCAGCTCGTGCCGTTCCTTCGACTCGAAGTCGAGCGCCTTGTTCACGTAGACCATCCCGGTCTCCGGATCGATGCGGAACATCTCCTCGCGGTCCGATTGCCGCCGGTTTATCGAGTACTCGATGCGCCCGTTGTCCCCGGCGTCGCTGTCCGTCGCGTTCACAGCGAGCACCGGCGTGCCGACGGTCGCGTTCTCCGGCACGCTGGCGACGTATCTGGTCTGGTTGAAGATCGGCGGATTGTCGTTCACGTCCTGTACCGTCACGTTCACGTGCAGGCTGGAGCGCAACGGCGGCGCGCCGCCGTCCAACGCCACGATCACCAGATGATACTGCGAGCGAGCCTCTCTGTCCAGCGAGCCCGAGTTCTGCAGGTCCAGGTAGAGGACGCCGTCGCGGCCGCGGTGCTGCGACAGCCGGAACGCGTCCCCGTGATTGCCCGACACGATCTCGTAACGCTGGGTCGAGTACAGGCCCAGGTCCGGGTCCTTGGCGGGCGGCAGGGCCCGCTTGGCGTCGCGCGGCGAGTTCTCCGGGAACTCGACGTCCACCCGGTCCACCGGGAACGTCGGCGCGTTGTCGTTCTCGTCGAGCACCTTCACGACCACCTGAATGTTCTGCGGCAACGCGACCAGGCTGTAGGAAGGCCTGGTCTCGCGGTCCAATGGCACTTTCGTACGGATCTCGCCCGACGCGTGGTCCACGTTCAAGTCCGAGTCGACCGCCGGCCCAGAGACCGAGACTATCAGGTACGGCGGGCTGTCGAAGTCGATGACACCAACCTTGGTGCCGGGCCTCGCGTTCTCCGCGACCTCCAAGTACTTGACCAGCTCGGAACACGTGCCCGGGGCGAGAGTCGCTCCCAGGACGAGGAACAGTAGCAGGTGCCGCATCCTGGAGCCTCCTCCGTCGCCGCCACAACTGCCACCTCCGCCGCCTCCTCCTCCGCCACCTCCTCCTCCTCCTCTTCCTCCGTCTTGCGCTCTATTATCTCCTCGATTCTTCCATCGCTGAACGACCGAAGGTTCGTGTACGCTCTCTCGGTATTATTCTCCCTTCTATATATCGGTCTCTCTCTCTCTCTCTCTCTCTCTTCTGTACACCGGACCGCTTTATCCGAAGTTATTGGAAACCCGACGACGACCGAAGCACGAATATCCGATCCACCAGCACATTGATCACCCACCAGCAGACACCAGACACCAACCACAATCACGCTTTATCCTGGTTTTTCCTTCCGCGATCACTTCCACCACGTCTTCCACCCGCGTTCCCAGTATCAGAACCGGCTGTTCGATCCCGATTCACCGTCGATCCCGGCGCTGGATCTATCCTCCGCCGCGTTGCTCGCTCGATCGCTCGCTCGCTCGCTCGCTCTTTACTAGCGCGATGGTGCGCCGCGCTATCCACTGTTCTCGCCGCTGATAGAGTATCTCCGCGGCCGAGACGTATCGTGCATTCCTCAGATCCACGTCCGACGATTAGAGGATCAGCAGGACCAGTCGCGAACCCGGCGCGATCTCACCGCGTCCAGATCGGGCCTCATCTCTTTTTCCCTCTTTCTCTCTCTTTCTCTCTCGTTTTCTCTCTATCCCTTTGTCTCTCTTCGTTCCTCACGCTCCGATCCAGGCGACACACGAGAGTTCGACGTCGCGCCAGCTCGATCGCCTATGCGGTGCCTTTTGTCATCGTTGCTGGAGCGCGGGTACCGCGCGGGCTCCTGTCTTCCGGATCGTCGATCAATCCTCTCGGAAGTTAACGACCAGGCAGGACCAGTTGGACCAGCATGCGAGCAACAGACTCGGCGAGAGCGAGCCGAGCCGAGAACCCCGGCTTCTACTCTCCGGAGACTCGGTTCTTCGCCGAGCCGCGAACGAAACCACCACCGTCGCTGGTGCTCGCGCAGCTTCAGCCCCCTTTTTTTCGGCCGCGGGGCGCCCCGCGTGCCGCGAAACTGTCAACCACCGACGCGCACACTGTTTTCTACGCGAATTACCCGCCGACAGGAGACGCGACTTTGCCCGACCTCGTCGACGATAAACCGCGGCCTACGATGCCCGACGAGCGAGTGACCTTCGCATCCTTGTGTCGGCGAACGTGTTCCCTCTGCCCGGGTCGCGGGCAGGACTTCTCGCCGTTCGGGGACACCGTCGGTCCCACCGGCGGTGACGATCCCGTGCACCGAATGCCTCCGAATTCGACACGCGAAGGGCCCCACCGTTCGGTGCTCGATTAACGGTCAGCGAAACCGATCGACCTCTTCGAATCCCGATCACACTTGTACGGTCGTACGCGGTCACACTGTTGCGGCACGGGACGAGCAAGTAATATGGCAGGAACACCGTCGAGCAGCACGAGGTGTCGCGTTCTTGGGCCCAGCGTCCGTTCCGCGCGGCTTCGAGGTTAGGCATGCACTGACATGGCGGCACCTGCAAGGCCTACCCTTCCCCTAACTCGGTGGACTCGGCTGGATCGGTCAGGGGGCCCCGGCTGGACCCGAGCTGGCGGCCATCTTGGAGAGGGGAGCGGTAATACTGGGCCCGATATGCTGGGGCCCCGGCATTCAGCGCGCTCCGCGGCACCGAGCAGCTAGACTATACCAAACTCTTCGCTTCCCTGCTTACTTGCCTGCTCGCTCGCTTCCTTGCTCTCCTGACTGCTTGCCTGCCTGCTTGCTTGCTTGCTAGCTTGCTAGCTTGCTTGCTTGCTTGCTTGCTTGCTTGCTCGCTCGCTGGCTTGCTTGCTTGCTTGCTTGCCTGCCTGCCTGCCTGCTTGCTTGCCTGCTTGCCTGCCTGCCTGGTTGGGCCTGCTCGGGCCTCTCTCTTCCCCTTCCCGGTCCCGTCGGGCCTCTCTCTTTCTCCGTGGATTCCTCGTTTCCTTCCTTCTTCGGCCACGATCGCTGCCTTCCTACCTACCTGAGCGCCCGGTATGCGAGGAACTGACTTACCAACGGCGCTCATTCCGCGCTCGGCTCTACAAGCCTCTTCTACGCCCGTGCCAAAGGTCCTGGAATTTCATGAGGCGCGCGACGAGAAAAAGATATTCCGAATATTTTCCCCGAATAATTCGCCGCGAATTTTCCAGCCGAGATTAGCCGACGGAGGATCGCGGGAACGTTTCGTCCGGCCGCCGCGGGACGACAGAGGGTTCCGGCTGTCGATGGAGAAAGGAGCGGATCGTGATCGACGCGTTTCTGTCGCGAACAAAGAATCCGTATCTCGAGCAACGATCGAAACGTTCTCGCGGGGCAGCAGGCCGGGCCCCGGCCGGGCCTCCTCCTCGCGGAGACCCCGACGAAAGGTCGCGAAATTTGCATGTTAACAGGAAGCGGCACATTAATTTTGACGATCTGTTAACACGTTCCCCGGGAGGGCACCGGGCCGATGTTGGTTAAACATGATGCATGCGATCCAGCGCGACGATACACCGGGCTTCGAACCCGACTTTCCGGAATAATCGCGTGCCTCGATAATATATTTCGCAACGGCGCGCGCATAGATCAACGGGGTGATTTACTCGCGGCGAGCAGGTAGACGGTAAGTGATAAATCCGCGGGCTTTATAATTCCCGGGCGCATCGGCGTGTCGCTCGTCACGCCGCGATCTGGAACGGGCTACCGCGATTCGACGGTTTCCTTCGGCGAGCACGGCGCTTTTGTTTTCGGTCTCGAGCGACACGGAACGAGGTGATTCGTTCGCTTTGGCCCGCGATTCTGGCGGGCGGAAGACGGAAATTGGAGGCGACGCGGTGAATGCGGGATCGGGAATACAAGGTGGAGGATAGGAGATAGAGGATTAGAGATAGAGAATAATGGATAGAGGGTGGGGAATACGAAGTACGGGATGTACTGTATGGAGGACAGAGAAAAGAGGATGGAGGGTAGAGAATAAACGATAGAGGATAGAGAATGCAAAATAAACGATAGAGAATAGAGAATAGTTGATAGAGGATAGAGAATAAAGAATAGTTGATAGAGGATAGAGCATAAAAAATAGTCGATAGAGGATAGAGAATAGAGAATAGTTGATAGAGGATAGAGAATAAAGAATAGTTGATAGAGGATAGAGCATAAAAAATAGTCGATAGAGGATAGAGAATAGAGAATAGTTGATAGAGGATAGAGAATAAAGAATAGTTGATAGAGGATAGAGCATAAAAAATAGTCGATAGAGGATAGAGAATAGAGAATAGTTGACAGAGGATAGAGAATAGAAAATAGTTAATAGAGGATAGAGAATAGAGAATAGAGAATAGTTAATAGAGGATAGAAAATAATGAATAGTCGATAGAGGATAGTGAATAATAAAGAATAGTCGATAGAGGATAGAAAATAGAGAATAGTTGATAGAGGATAGAGAATAAAGAATAATCGATAGAGGATAGAGCATAAAAAATAGTCGATAGAGGATAGAGAATAGAGAATAGTTGACAGAGGATAGAGAATAGAAAATAGTTAATAGAGGATAGAGAATAGAGAATAGAGAATAGTTAATAGAGGATAGAAAATAATGAATAGTCGATAGAGGATAGTGAATAATAAAGAATAGTCGATAGAGGATAGAAAATAGAGAATAGTTGATAGAGGATAGAGAATAAAGAATAATCGATAGAGGATAGAGCATAAAAAATAGTCGATAGAGGATAGAGAATAGAGAATAGTTGACAGAGGATAGAGAATAGAAAATAGTTAATAGAGGATAGAGAATAGAGAATAGAGAATAGTTAATAGAGGATAGAAAATAATGAATAGTCGATAGAGGATAGTGAATAATAAAGAATAGTCGATAGAGGATAGAAAATAGAGAATAGTTGATAGAGGATAGAGAATAAAGAATAATCGATAGAGGATAGAGCATAAAAAATAGTCGATAGAGGATAGAGAATAGAGAATAGTTGA